TTCAAATTCATATTGATGAAAAAGACAATGATGTAAAAGACAGCCAATGCGTTTCAGGGTCAAAGGAACTCCCCCCTTCATCAAGGACTCAGTTACAAATGAGAACCTTGAATGGACTCAACGGAAGGCTTTCCTGTTTGAATCTGTGCAGGGGAGCGAATTGCTGGAGTAGGATTCCTGAACAGCAGTGTCAGCATCAGCTGTCAAAATAAGTCTGAATTTGGTCTCTTATCTTTTGGTCTGGCGCTCCTTCCATATATGCGCACTTTTTCCCGGTAACTTGCTTGAGTTACCCACAGTAGGGTGGCCTTGCCTGTTGTGAGCAACCTAACCTGAGCCAGTGGACTCTTCAAAATGTTTTTTGCCCTCTCACTACCTTGTTTAAACTCATATCAAAGTCCCAGCGCCTCTTGAATGCCCTTTAGTTCATTGGATTCTATTACTGTATTAGCTGCCAGGTAAATATATATATTTTTCATGAAAGCTAAAATTAACAATAAATCTAGCACCTATAGAACCAAAGGACAGTAGTTATTTTATACATCTCATGATACTGCACTAATGCTAAACATTTACAAAAGCTGAATATTTTGCTGCCCTGACTCCGAATATAAAAAAAAAAAAGTAAATCTATCCTTTAATCAGTATCTAACAGAAATATGTTGGAACATGTGTCTTGAGATATTTTCCTCTACTGTACCAGCTATTCACTTATTGTTGGCCTGCATATACGGAACTCCTGACCTTGCTAATGTTCTAACATTTTAAAGGCTAATATTTAAAAGCATCTCATATCTTTTAACAATGTCAGAAACAAATATTAGCTATATGCACAAAATAAAAAGAGCAGAGTATCAGGAAAATGTTGGTTATAGGAACTGGCAAAACATGCAGCTTCAGCCTGCAGAGACCACAGACTTTATCATCACACTTGTTATACTGAATGATTGAAAAATGCTTGTAATGCTATCTCACCTCCCCAAACTGGATCATATATCGCATTTGGCAGCTTAGTAACTGGAAACTTAATTCTCTCTTGAGTCCCAAAATTCATAGTAGGACTTGGGTTAGTAACTACAGTATCAAAGTTTTCTCTAGTTCGAAGATTTACTAGTCTGTCTGTTCCATTTAGAACAGTTTGGTGGTTCTTACCACTCTTATTTATCATCTCCACCTCTTGTGTAGGTGAAGAAACTTTTGCTGTGGGAAGGGAATCTTTTGCGGGTAGAACAACTTTTATCACCGAAGGTATCAGCACATTAAGCACCTTTGCTTCCTTTTCAAATGGTAAAGCTTTTGTTTCTGGGGGTAGTTCCTTTGCAGCTGGTAACAACTTTGCAGCTGGCAGGACCTTTGATGGTGGAGGAAGTGGCTGGCAAGCTAAAGGCATTTTTTTTGCCAAGGAAGGCTCTCTCAAAGACCCCAGACTCTTTTCCAGCAAAGAAAGTTCCTTTGTAGCAATCGTGGGTAGTGGAGGTTCCTGTGTAACAATCACTTGTGTAAGTTCCGCTGCACCCAGCAACATTTTGCCTTGCTTAAATGGTGCCATTGCAGATGGCAAACCTTCCTGTGTTGGTGAATCCGCTGCAGAACAAGATACCTTTATTTCTGGAGGCTGTTCCTTTACAGCTGGTGGCCCCTCTAGAAGTATAGGGGGGGTCCTTTGAAAATGTGGACTCATCTGTAGACACCTTTGACCGTGGAGGGGGCCCCTTGTTCACAGATGGTGGGTCCACTGTTGCAGCTGGCAGTTCTTTGTTATTGTCTTCTAATGGAGTTATCATTATCCAATACCCCAATGGACAATCTTCACAACGAATAAGGGTTTGGGAGGCTTCGCTTTCAATATTGCCTTCAGCTTGTACAAGCAGAGACTGGTAAACACTGTCAGCAGATTTCACAGCATCAACAATTTCTACAAGTCCCCGATTCAATGTTCTAGCCATAATAGCGCATATTACTCCATCAGGCATGTCTGCTGGAACGCAGCTTATGAACACGGTTCTTTTTGGGTCGGCATTCTTCTGTAAACACCATTTATAGGCTCCATGTTCTACACCTCTGGAAAGCAGTTCACTCAATAAGCCAAATACTACTTGTTCTGCAGACGTTCCCTCAGTCTTCGGACCACGAGATCGCTTTTTCTTTCCAGACTTTTTAGAGGACATGGTGATGAATTCATAAACCAAGATCCCAGCTTTGCTCTAGAACAAAACCACAATTTAGATCACCAGAATCAGAGACGTCTGTTAGTTCTTCTGATAAAGATCATAAGAGGACAAAGTGGAAGAAGAAAGATCGTCAGCAATCCGGTTTCCTTACGGCCTTTGATGTGACATTGATCCAAATATGCAGTAAAGTTTTCAGTACCACTTTTGATGGACTTGCATCGAGTTTTGACACCTTCTGAAGTCTGTTTCCAGGTTCAGTTCATTACAGCACCGGCTTCCCCCAAGGCCTCATACAAAGACTTCTGCAGAATCCAGTACTAGCTAATGAGAAAATACATAGGGGAACAAAATGAACTCTAACAGCCCCTCCTCCGGCGACACACCAACTACAAGCACACTATCTAAACTACTAGCGGAAACACCCCTCTGCCGGAGCCATTCTGCTCAACTGCTAGAGGGCAAACTGCCTTAACCACGCCTACGTCCTCATCCAGCGCCATTTTATTGAAGACATTTCCTATATAGTGCATTGAATCCAGCACGCCGAACCTACAGTCAATCAATAGAACTTCGCAGACGACAGTAGGCACATCACTTTCATCTAGATTTCTAGTATTATAATTACCAAAACTAAAGCCGCTCAGAGCTGACAGCACAGGAAATAAACGCAAACTCCGCCTTTGTTAACAGAACTATCTACCTAGCAACAGCCGATTAACCCCGAACGGTCCAAGATCAGCGTATGCAAATGCGATCTTTAATACGGCTCAGTAATACACAGAATTACCCATTGCACTGACACTAGCATCAATAGAGTGTACACAAACATGATTGTTCCAGTGTGTCATCTGCATTACAAATCTTAAACACACCGTATATTTACAGAAACATTCCTTCGGAATCTTGTACAAAGCCACTTTTCAGGTTTGCTATTATAGGATGACATGCACTGAATGCGTTCCTGATCCCATTCTCCGCGATGTCAATCAGCAAAAAATGACAGCACATGTGAGGCGCAGGACTGAAACTTTCCTGCCGGTTCTGAACTTCCTGATCTGCAGCTCAGCCCGGTCACCAGTCCACGCTCTCCTTACCCTGCTGTGCCTTCCGGTCGCCCTGCTGTCTGCATTGACTTTTCCCGACTCTCTCGCAGGACAACACCCGCCGCTTTCTCTGATGCTGGACAAGCCGAGAGCTGCTAACAAGAGGAGCACTTCACTTTCGTTTCCAGGTTTCCCAGCGCCTGGTGAATGCTCCGCCTAGATCACCCAATTCTCCAGGATCACCCAGCCCAGGGCCACCCTCCGCAAACTACCTGCCTCTAAACTACAGCCGCACACTTAGCTTCAGCCTGATTGGTGGAGCTTCATCTGTACTGCATTATGTTTAGGCTCTATTCACACACTAACTTTTAATAAAATTGAAGCAACTCCTCTAGAAATTGGACTTTTAAAGGCACATATTGTATACAGGAGTATAGAATAACAATATGAATCTTTAATATACAAAACCAATAAAGTCACATGTTAAATAATCAGTAGTTGTAAGTTTTAAAGACTGCACCATTTCTCATACAGACTTTACAACGGCAGAGGGGCTGGCCGAGCTACACTTGTGTTTAAAAGTCCCAATACTAGAAGGGTTGCTACATTTGTTTTGTTTTTTTTGGAGGGGAGACAGGTACCTGATTTTGACAGGTATCTGCTCCCACCCCTAGGCGTTCGGAAGCGAAAGTTCTTCTCCCCACTCCCTCCCCATAGTCTTCGGGGACATGCGACAGGTCACAGAAGACTGTGGGACCATTCACAATGCGCAGCACGGCTCGCACATGCACACTGGGCACATGGCTGTGAGGCTGCAAGTTATCTTAGCCGGGTGCCCACAGTTGAGATACCAATGCCGGGGACAGAAGATGGAGGGAAGGGATGGCTCGAGTGAGCACATTGCTGGAGCCTGGGACAGGTGAGTGTCTATTAAAAGTCTGGAGATCCACTTTAAAACAAAAGAAAAAAGATGAATGGAATCCAAGCAAATGGAAGCTTCTTTCACAGGACACATACGGTGTATCAAAAACAACAAAGTTAAATTAATTAAATACAAAATATCTTTCTAAATGTCAAATATTGAATGAAAACAGTATAAAAAAAAAAAATCACACATGTATAAATAAATACTCTTCTTCTACAATGTTGTCATTTTTATTGGTGGAAGAAGGTTATTGATGTGTGTGGGTTTTTTTTTTTTACTATTTTCATTCAATATTTGACATTTAGAAAGATATTTTGTATTTACTTAAAGTACAACTAAAGGAAATATTTTTTTTTTGCTTTGAATTGGGTGGAGTGGTATTAGAATTGGTTTTTACTACTGTCTGTTCCCATTAGGGAGATTCAAGGTCTCTATTTGTCCCAAATTTGTTTTGTCCCCAGAAAAGTAATAGAGGGGAAATCTTCCAATGGGGACACAGTTCTGATGACTTAGGGAACCCCAAGGGAGTCCCTTAATTTGCAGGGATTTCCTCTCCCTTCCTATTTTTGTTTTGGGACACAGATGACAAAAATTGACAGGGGTTCTAACCCTCCGTTCTATCCAAAATGAAAGTTTTGTCCTTAATTATACTTTCCAGCAGCCTTTCTTGACCTATTCAACACAGAGGAACCGTTTAACCACTAGCCTACAGGGCACTTATATCCCCAATTTCCAGCTTTCAGCGCTGTCACACTTTGACAATTGCACGGTCATGCAACACTGTACCCATATGACATTTTTATCATTTTTTTGTGACAGATAGAGCTTGATTTTAGTGGTATTTAATCACCTCTGGGATTTTTATTTTTTCTTAAACAAACCAAAAACCACTGAAAATTTTGAAAAAAAAAAACCCCGTTTTTTTCTTAGTTTTTGTTATACAATTTTGTAAATAAGTGATTTTTTCTCCTTCACTGATATGCGCTAATGAGGCTGCAGTGATGGGCACTGATAGGCTGCACTGATGGACACTGATAGGTGGCACTGATGAGGAGGCACTGGTAGGTTGCACTGATGGGCATTGACAGGCGGCATTGACAGGCATCACTGATGGGCACTGAAAGGCAGCACTGGTATATGGCACTGTTAGGCAGCACTGACTGGCACTGATTGGCAGCACTGATAGGCATTGATAGGTGGCACTGATGGGTGACATTGAAAGGCAGCTCAGATGGGCACTGATATGTGGCATTGATGTGCACTGGTATGCACTGATATGTGGCATTGATGTGGCACTGATGGGCACTGGCATGTAGCACTGATGGGCACTGGCACGTGGCACTGATGGGTACTGACAGGTGGCACTTCTGGGGCCACACTGATCATCAGTGCCCTGATAATCAGTGTACATGTCCCCTCTGCGGAAAGCCGATTACCGTCTCTCCTCTCGAGCTGTCAGCGTGACAGCTCGAGAGGAGAGAAATGCCGATAACCGGCATTTCCGTGTTTACATGTGATCAGCTGTGACTGGACACAGCTGATCGCATGACCGAGCCGACATCTTCAGCTCTTTCCGTGAATCTCTGTGTCCGAGGGACACAGCGCACCGGCGATCGCTGCACGCTCCCTGAGCCGCGCATACGCAGTGAGTCTGGTAGGACGTCATATGACGTCCTATCAGAACGAGAGAACCACCTTGCGCCCGTCATTTTACTATAGGGTGGGCGGAAGGTGGTTAAATAACTTGAAATATAAAATGATATAGAGTCTGGGATTAAAAATCCCATTTCAGTCTTTGCAAATAACACCAAGCTGTGCAGTGGAATAACGTCCTTACAGGATGTCTCCAATTTACAAGCCGATCTCAATGCACTGTATAATTGGGCAATATGTGGAAAATGAGGTTTAATGTTGATAAATGTAAGGTTATGCACTTGGGGGTTAAAAATATGCATGCATCATACATACTAGGGGGAGTACAACTGGGGGAATCAATGGTGGAGAAGGATCTGGGAGTTCTGGTAGATCACAAGCTTAATAATGGCATGTAATGCCAAGCTGCGGTTTCTAAAGCGAGCAAAATCCTCTCTTGTATTAAAAGAGGTATAGACTCCAGAGACAGCTATTTTCCCCCTGTACAAATCATTAGTAAGACCTCATCTGGAATATGCAGTTCAGTTTTGGGCACCAATTCACAAAAAGAACATTGGGGAACTGGAGAAAGTACAGAGAAGGGCAACTAAACTGATAAGCGGCATGGAGGAGATCAGCTATGACGGAAGATTAGAGGAACTGAATTTATTCTCTCTTGAGAAGAAGAGATTAAGGGGGAATATGATCAACATGTATAAATACATCAGTGGTTCATATAGTGAACTCAGTGTAGAGTTACTCACCTTGAGGTCATCACAGAGGACAAGGGGGCACTCTTTACATCTGGAGGAACATAGATTTAATCTCCAAATACGGAAAGGTTTCTTCATAGTAAGAGCTGTGAAAATGTGGAATAGACTTCCTCAAGAGTTGGTTCTGACCAGCTCAGTGGATTGCTTTAAAAAAAGGCCTAGATTCTTTCGTAGATACACAGAATATAACTAGATACTAACATTTATAGATAAAGTTGATCCAGGAAATATCCGATTGCTTCCTGGGGGATCAGGAAGGAATTTTTTACCCTGCAGGAGCAAATTGGATCATGCTTTGCTGGGTATTTTTGCCTCCCTTTGGATCAACGTGGGTATAGGATTATAACCTAAAGATGCCCATACATTATATAATTTTCTTGAGAATTTTGCTTTAGATTTACCAAAAACCATATAATAGGAGGTCAAACCTAACAACACTTTTAATTGTATCCAATTAGTCAGGCCCTTGCACTACATAGTTGAAGGTAAATCTAAAGGAAGTTGGGCAGAAAAGTGTATAGTGTATGGCCAGCCTAACTCTGCAACTATGAGCGGGAAAGACATAGCTTGTCTCTTCTGCCTAAACAGTTGTTTGCTTGTAGTTAGTTTTTAACACTTTTTTTTTTTTGTTACTAAACTTTTTTTTAGGAGTAAAAAGTGTGAAAAATTACAAAAAGTATAACAGTTACAACCAAGCATTTAAAATCCTCCCTTCAAAATTTTTGAACTATTCACACATACATACACATATGAATGGAAATGTCCACGTTAGTGGCGCCTCTGCACAAAACATTACATATCCTGCTGCGCGCTGGAGAAAGAATGCTCTAGACCCATTATTCATGGTTAAAGGAGAAGTCCAGCCAAAGCTTTTTTGGCTGGACTTCTCCTATGGATCACAAGAGTGTAGTTCATTCTGCACTCCTGTGAACAGTTTTCAGCTGAGAAAGGACTGAAGTCTGCTGTCGGATGATGTCACTCACCTGGTTCAGGCTGGGGAAAGATTCCGTCTTCAAAGTTAGGATGCCCCCCAGAGTCTGGAGCAGCACCTGGCTCAGCCTCTCAGTGAAGTACTGAGAACCTGACCCAGCCGCTCCCTCCCCCTCCACAGCCCAGCGCTCCAGTAGCGGGGGATGGGAAGACAGTCCCGCTCTCTGCTCAGAGCGGAGAAAACTCAGTGATCATGTGATTGCTGAGTTCTCACCCTTAGCCCAGGTTCACATAAATGCAGTTTGGCAAATCGCATGTGATTCGCACAAGAACCGCACCACATTCCTGTGTAAATCACATGCGAATTGTGTGCGGTGCTATTTGAGCCATACATTATGTATGGCTCAAATCGCACTGCATCAGGACCTTTTTCTGTCCAGACTAGAATCGGATTGCATGGGTATTCACACCTATGCGATCCGATTGTGCACATTGCACCGCATTTTGCGGACCGATTTCAGGGTGTTGTTAACATACACACCCGCAGCGGTCGCAAGAATGGGATGCGATTTTGATGCGGTGCGGAATTCGCACAGAAATTGCTGCAAATTTCTCACCGCATCAGTGTGAATCCAGGGCTTAGTGCTGGCAGGGGCCCAATGCTGCATCCATCTAGATCAGTGGTTCTCAACCTGTGGGTCGCGACCCCTTTGGGGGTCCAATGACCCTTTCACAGGGGTCCCCTAAGACCATCAGAAAACACATATTTCCGATGTGTAAAGAGCAGCTACTGTGTAGAAAGCAGCTGCTGTGTTGAAAGCAGCTACTCTGTTAAAAGCAGCTACTCTGTTGAAAGCAGCAGTATTGGAGGTAAAATGACACTTATGAATTATAATTACTGGGTAAATAATTTTATGGTTGGGGGTCACCACAACATGAGGAACTGTATTAGAGGGTCACGGCATTAGGAAGGTTGAGAACCACTGCTCTAGATAATTATAAATAGGGAGAAAAAGCCCTACTTCTCTTTTAACTCTAAACTGATGTCCTGTATGGACTTTCGAAGCGTCACCTATGGAAAATATAGGGTTTGTAATATTGAGTGACATAAAAAAATTTGAACTGCCACTATTTTATTCTCTAGGGTTTCTGTTAAAATGTTTCAGGGGTTTTACATAATCCCCAGGACTAAAATGAAGTTTTCTTCTCAAACAAGTGTACAAAAATGCAAAAACAGCTCTAGCAGCAAGTTTAGTTCCATTTTAACACCCACATGTATCAAGAACTTCCAAAACTCCTTCCCTTATGCAGGCCATAGACGGTTCGTTTATCGGCTGATTTTTTGTGCAAAATAATAATTGGCCAATTTTCGCAGTTATGCAGGCCATAGACAGGTTGTTTATTGGCCGACTGGTCGGCCAAAAAACGAAAAATCAACCATTCTATTGCCACCAATGCTTACGAAAATCGGCCGTTTTTCGTAATTTTCCAGCATGACCGATAAAAGAAACGAGAAGGAACCGCAAAAATCGTCTGACCACATTGCTCCACTAACGGTGCAAATATCGGCCGATTATTCTTTTGGCCAAAAATACGGCTGAGAAACGATCCGTCTATGGCGTGCATTAGTGGGACAATGACATCGGCTGATTTTTGCGGTTCCTCCTCATTTCGTTTATCGGTCATACTGGAAAATTCGTGAAAAACGTCAGATTTTCGAAATCATTGGTACTACATCGGATTACAGAACGAACAACGTCTATGGTCTGCATTACTCATTATATAGTACTGTTAACAGACAAAAAACATCCGCGTATTGCACAACATTCCCTCCACACCATCACTAACCGACAGTGATTAAAGGCAGCCTCATCTATGACACACTGCCACTGAGAACATTGCCGTCACCGCGCTTCTGCATTAGCAATACTCTAAGCGTCCCACCTACGGCTGCTTTTCGCGCACAGCATTTCGGGATTTGTAGTCTCTGCTGTTACTGTGGAAAGGCGTTCTTCGCTACTTAGAACTTCAAATCCCACAAATCTATGCGAGCGCAGCCGTTGTCGGCAAGTCTGCTCTTTCAAAGAGGAGAAAAAAAAAAAAAAAAAACCGGTTCGCCATTAGCAACGTGTGGTGTGACGGGCCTGAAGACCGGTAGCCGGTGAGCATTTTCCTCATAGTATGTGTCTTTTGATAATGGAGTTGGTAGTAATGGGCGGATGAGTACTCTCATGTCTGAGGAACGGTGTGGTTTTGGCGGGATGTTGCTGTCGGCGCTGCCTCTTCCGTGTCTGACTGCTTACCGGCGGAAAGCGCCCACTTTACTTGGCGATGTATTCTCTCATCTAAGGCACGTTAAAAGGGTATTAAACCCAAAACACATATTTAATAAATTGCAGCTTAATAGTTCTTAGCTGTGATGGCTGCTTTCGTTTTTTGTTTTAGACTTTTTTCTTAATCTGGTGATTCAACCAGTAAGTCCGTTGTCTTCCTACAGAACAAGTAGTTTAGCAAATGTAGCAATTAGAGTGTGGAGACAAACCATTTAGCACTGACGGGTGCTTACAATGACCAGCTTTTATTATCTATGTAAAACCTTTACCCCAAGTGGGAAAAACGTTGCTTTAACTGTTTAAAAACTATTAGCTGGCATCTGTTTAAAAACTATTAGCTGGCATCTGTTTAAAAACTATTAGCTGGCATTTGGCTTCTATTTGTTAGTGTATCTAAATCTGCTAGTACATCTATCACTCCCCACTCCCTTGACTGACTGTCCATAGGTGCCCCCTGTGCTTCTTTTTCCAGAGTGGTAACACTCTAAGGCTTCATGTACACGAGCCTACCCTGACCGCCAGCTGTGGGAAACCGCAAAACACTGTACTGCGGTAGCCACATTTTGCCGCTGTCAAAACGTTCCTATCCTGAATGTGATTCTTCCACGTTCAGGAGAGGGAGGTTTAACCTCCCCTAAACGCGGCAGTTCCTAAACTCTGCTAAAAGTCTATGTGTACATGGATACACAGGCTTTTATGGAGTTGAGTCTAGGAGCTTTGACAAAAAAAATGCCAAAAGCTGCTAAACTGGAGTTTAGGAGCTGCCCGTGTACATGAGGCCTAAGGGAGGGAGTTTTGGAAGTTAGATTTGGTGAACACTTCCATGGACTCTGTTCCCTATTCAATTTCCCTTCTGTTTGTTGAACTGGATGGA